GTTGCTTGAAGTGTTGCTCAAAATGTTTCGTATTACTCCGTTCCCAATGATCCGCGCCAAAGCGTCTCGGTTCTCGTTTGCGCTCCCCCTCCCCCATCTTCTGCAAGCCTCCGCGACATGCACACCCATCCTTTCGCCCTTCTCATCACTGCCCCGGCGCCCACACCTCGATCTTCTTGGGCATCAGCTGGATCGACAGGTCCTCTCCGTGGCCTAGGCAGGCTCTTCGGCAGGCGTCTTCACCCTTGCCCCAGGTAAAGACGGCGCCGTCGGCGGTGATGGCGAGGCTGTGGACTAGTCCAGCCGACACAGCGACGACGCGCTGGCCAGACAAGGCCTCGATCTTCTTTGGAAGCAGCTGCTCCTGCAGTTCGCCGTGGCCCAATCGGCCATAGGTTCCACAGCCCCAGCTCCAGATGGCTCCGTCGGCGGTGATGGCGAGACTGTGCACGCCTCCAGCCGACACGGCGACGACGCGCTGGCCAGCCAAGGTCTCGATCTTCTTTGGAAGCAGCTGGTCCTGCCTGCCGCCGTGGCCCAACTGGCCGTCGTCTCCACGGCCCCAGCTCCAGACAGCGCCGTCGGCGGTGAGGGCGATACTGTGGAATGCTCCAGCCGACACAGCGACGACGCGCTGGCCAGCCAAGGCCTCGACCTTCTTTGGCAGCAGCTGGTTCTGCTTGTCGCCGTGGCCCAGCTGGCCAAAGTCTCCATTGCCCCAGCTCCAGATGGCTCCGTCGGCGGTGAGGGCGAGGCATTGCAACCCTCCAGCCGAGGTCACGACGACGCGCTGGTCAGCAAAGGCCTCGATCTTCTTGGGCAGCTGCTGGTCCTGCCCGTCGCCGTGGCCCAGATTGCCTCCATAGCCCCAGCTCCAGACGCTGCCGCTGGCGGTGATGGCGAGGCTGTGCCACTGTCCAGCCGTCACGCTCATGGCGCGCTCGCCGCCCAGCGGGGAAGGGAGGCGTGTCGGCGTGTTGAGCTGCGTCACGCACTCGCCATGACCGAGCAGTCCTGGCATCCACCTCTCAGCCTTTCCGCACGACGAGAGCCGCCCCTCGCCATCGATGAAGAGGCTGTGCTGAAGGCCTGCCGCCGCCCTCATCGGCGGGTTGGACTCGCACAGCAGCGCAGCGAAGCACAGCCACCGCACGGCGCAGCTCTCGCCCTCTGGCTGCGCCGGCAGCTCGAAGCCGCGCTCTTGCGCCCACAAGCGGATGGCCTCGAGCGCAAGCGAGGCGTGAAAGAGGAGCGAGACGGCCGCGACGCGAGCGATGTCGGCGGGGTCGCAGCGAGAGAGGGCGCGCAGGAGGAGCTCCGTGGGGAGGTCGAGGAGGCGGGCGGGCGGCGGCGTGCCTGGCGAGGGGGAGGCGGTGGAGGCGGAGGCGAGGCGGCGCGAGCGGCGGCGCGGCGGGGTGGACATCGCGAGAAAAAGAAATAAGCTGAAGAAGAACAGATGCTTCGAGGGCGCCATCGGAAGCGTCCGAGAAGCCCGAGTCGGCCACGATGCTGCTGGCCTTCACGCCCGCACTCCACGCTGCCGGCTTGAGAAAAGAATTTAAACACATCAACTCTCTCTCACAGCACACAGGCTCGACACAGGTGCGAACTGGCGCGTGCTAGTACTATCACCGGCACACCACCGGAGCCGCCTAAGCGACTCCGTTAAGAACGGCAATGCACTTAGACCTGTCTTAGCACACACAGTGAGTCATTCGGAGTCATTCGATGGCCAGAGTGCGCTTTGTGTGTGTGCGGGAGTTGGTTGTCGGGAGGGAGGGGCGGCTCCGGCTCAGGTCGTGGGGCATAGCTCGGGTGTAAACGGGGTCTGGGGAGGAAGCCCCAGCGGCCCGCCGCAGGCGCCGCCGGAGGCTGGCCCGCCGCAGGCGCCGATTTTTTGGCGTTTTTTCTCAAAATTGAGGGATTTCTCATCTAAATTCTCATCCAAAATCGAGCTCGCTACGAGCTCTCTAACTGCACAGCATCTCCTCGTTGAGCCTAGCGGCGCCCGTATCGCCCACGCCCACATTCCTTTTTCTTGCCCTTGGCCCTTGCTGCACTCAGCCGCTCAACCTCCGCCAGTCTCTCCTTGCTCGTTGCTGGCGCTGCCGCCCCCAGTACTGCGATTGCAGCTCCTTGGCATGCCGCGCCGCCTCCATCTGCTGTGCTTCCCACGCTGCCGCTTCCTCTAAATCAGCGCCGCCACTAAGCGGCGCAACCAAGTTCTCGCACTGTTTGCATGAGCATGTGTCCTGCTGGTGCGGCGCACAATCCGCGCGCGGCGAGTGAGAGTAGAAGACTGACAGCAGGAGCTGCAGGAGCTGCAGGAGCTGCGCAGATCGGATGGGTGGTGACGCCGTCGAGCGACGGCGCAAAGACCAATCACCACCGCTGAGAGCCGCGACACGAGGCTGCTGGCAGCTGCACCTGTGAGAGCCGCGACACGAGGCTGCTGGCAGCTGGCAGAGCGAATCGCGATTCCGGCGGCCGCCGTCAGCCCGCCGACACCGACGGCCTGTCTGAGGTCAAACTCCCACCGCACGTCGGACCAGTCGTGCGTCAGCCATGGCGACAAGACGTCTGTATGCAGACAGCCCGCCACCCGGGCGATAGAACATGCCAGCTGGGCTCTTCCAGGGCTCTCGTGGCCCGGCGCGTGCCCAGTGGAATAGGGCGGGCTGCGGCGGGCGCAATAACTATTCACAGCTAATGAAAACTATAAAAACTCGCGGCTTCATCAAAGTTTGAGGTGGCTTCGTCCTCAGCACCATCAAGACAGCTCTATTCACACCCTGTTTGGTTTGAAGCCACTCGGGGATGCCCGTTTACACCCAACCGACGAGTCGCTGGGCCCTCTGACCTGAGCCGGAGCCGGCAGGCTGCTCACCCACGTGCACCGGGCCAGTGCTTGCACTTTGAATGCCGTGGGGCTCCTGCCCGTGTCCGGGCGTGGAGATGCGAGGGTCGCCCCCCTTGCCCCACCACTTTGTGTGTGTGGAGAAATCCTGGAGAAATCTACCTTACCTTACCTTATCGGTCCACGCCTTCATGTCCACGACGAACTCCCCTGGGTTGTCGCTCGGCAGCGTGGGAGCGCCCATCGCCGCAAGGGCGCCCGCCACACGCCCTCGCAGGTCGCTGACCTGCGTGGCGGGGCGCGACTTTCCAAAGCCAGTGACAATGATGAGCCGGTTCGGCTTCGGCTGCAGCGCTGGCACGCGCTCCTCCAGCCACCACCGCAGCGCCGTCTCGCCCGCGCCCTCCGAGTGATCGTGCAGGTCTAGCATCGGCGCGCCGGCTTCCCACTTCTCTACCTTGGGATAGAGGCCACGCTCACAGCCCTGTAGCCACAGCTCGCGAGCAATGGCCGGCTGCGGCGACGCGACAGCGTCCAGCACCGCGTTGAAGGTGATACAGCTCGGTTCCACCGACCTCAGCGCCTCCTTAAAGAGCCGCAGCGCCTCAGCAGGCTGTTGTGCCGCCGCGCACGCCTGAATCGCTCCGCTGTAGCTGTACACGTCTGGTTGCACGCCGTCCTCTTGCATCTTGCTGAACAGCGACAGGGCATCACCACACCGGCCAGCCTTCTCGCACGCAGAGATTGCTGCGCTGTAGCTGATCACGTCTGGTCGCACTCCCGCAGCAGGCATCTCGCGCAGCAGCGACAGCGCCTTCTCCCATTGCCCTCCCTTCTCGCACGCAGAGATGGCCGCGTTGTAGCTGATCACGTTTGGTCGCACTCCCGCAGCAGGCATCTCGCGCAGCAGCGACAGCGCCTTCTCCCATTGGCCAGCCTTCTCGCATGCAGAGATGGCCGCGCTGTAGCTGATCACGTTTGGTTGCACACCCGCAGCAGGCATCTCCCGCAGCAGCGACAGCGCCTCATCGCACCGGCCAGCCTTCTCGCAGGCTGAGATGGCCGCGTTGTAGCTGATCACGTTTGGTGACAAGCCTGCATCAGGCATATCGCGCAGCAGCGACAGCGCCTTCTCCCATTGCCCTCCCTTCTCGCACGCAGAGATGGCCGCGTTGTAGCTGTACACGTCTGGTCGCACTCCCGCAGCAGGCATCTCGCGCAGCAGCGACAGCGCCTTCTCCCATTGGCCAGCCTTCTCGCATGCAGAGATGGCCGCGCTGTAGCTGATCACGTTTGGTTGCACACCCGCAGCAAGCATCTCCCGCAGCAGCGACAGCGCCTCCTCCCAACGACCAGCCTTCTCGCACGCAGAGATGGCTGCGCTGTAGCTGACCACGTTTGGTGACAAGCCTGCAGCAGGCATCTCGCGCAGCAGCGACAGCGCCTTCTCCCAACGACCAGCCTTCTCGCACGCAGAGATGGCTGCGCTGTAGCTGACCTCGTTCGGCGGCACTCCCGCGCCTGGCATCTCGCGCAGCAGCGACACCGCCGTCTTCCAGTCCTTCGACCTTGCGCACAGGTTGATGAGAATGCTGTAGCTGAAGACGTCTGGCTCACATCCGGCCTGCCGCATCTCATCGAGGATGCCAAAGGCGCGGCGGCGGTCTCCGACCCTGGCGTGAGCCGTGATGAGCTTAGTCCACTCCTTTGTGGTCCTCAGCGGCTGCAGCCTCGCCTCCAGCCGCGCCACATCCTCTAGGTGGCGGCACCGCTTGAGCTCAGCAAACAGAAAGCCTCTCTCGCCTCTCTGGCTGCGCGGTTGGGTGCTGAGCAGCCTCGGCAGTGGCGGCAGGGACGGCTGTGCGGAGCGGAGGCCTGCTAGGATCGGCGCTCGTGGCGTTGCGACGGCCACGAGTCGAGCTGACGCGCGTCGCGCCGCGCGGAGCAGCATGTCTCTCCAGAGAACTCCAGAGCACCGCAACGAGTGGCCAGATTTGCAGCGGCTTAACAAAAAATCGAAGCGATTTCAGATTTTTGGCCCTACACAAAGAATTTAATGAATCAACTCACACAGGTGCGACGGCGCGAAACAAAAGAAATCGAGCGCCGCTCCCGCCTCCACCTCAGCTAAGCTGTCGCGAGCATGCTGGCCGACACGCCGGCAGATGATCCGCATGGCGAGGCGGCGCCAGCCGAGGAGGAGGAGGAGCCGATCGTGTACGACGGTCCGCTACCAGCCGACATCGCCGGCACACCGTTTGCCATCTTTCGCGCCGTCGACATCTGGGAGCGGCTGGCCTCGCACCCTGACACGCGGCCGCACGTCGCCGACTCGGGCTTCCGCGCGGCGGTCGAGCGGCTGCGCGCGCTCGACGGGCAGGCGGCGGCTCGCGAGGTGATGGAGGACCCGCGTCTGGCGCAGGCGCTGATGGCGATGCAGGGCGGGAAGGACCGGCTCAAGCTGCGGGAGGAGGACATGCTGCAGGCCGAGGTTGGCGGCCGCATGAAGCGGCGAAAGCCCAGTCCAGCGGCCGAGCCGGCCCTTCCGAGGGCCTCTCCTGGACAGTTCCAGGAACCTTCCCGCTAGGCGGGACCCGGTGCAGCTGCCTCACCTCGAGCGGGCACACGGGCACGCGACGGCGGCGGCGGCGAAGGAGGCGGGCAACGCGCACTTCAAGGCGGGCGAGTACCCCGACGCCGCCGCGTGCTACGCGCGCGCGCTCTCCCTGGCGGCCGACGGGGGCGGAGGCGCGGCGGCGAGGGTGGTGCTGCACTCAAACCACGCGGCGGCCTTCCTCAAGCTGCGGCGGGGCGGCGAGGCGCTCGCTTGCTGCGAGGCGGCGCTGAGGGAGGCGGAGAAGGCGGCGGCGGAGAAGGCGGCGGCGGAGAAGGCGGCGGCGGAGAAGGCGGAGAAGGCGGCGGCGGAGAAGGCGGAGAAGGAGGCGGCGGAGAAGGCGGAGAAGGAGGCGGCGGAGAAGGAGGCGGCGGAGAAGGCGGCGGCGGAGAAGAAGGTGGAGGAGAAGGAGGCGGCGGGTGTCGGCTGTGCGGTGCTAAGCAAGGTGCAGTACCGCAAGGCGCTCGCGCACGAGATGGAGCGGCAGTGGCCCGAGGCGCGGCGGGCGATGGAGGCGGCCATCGCCGTCGACCCGGAAGGCGCGAGATCACTCGAGATCACCCGAGATCACTCGAGATCACCCGAGGTCTCTCGAGATCACCCGAGATGACCCGAGGCCCGCCCCACTCAAGCGCGAGCTGCGCCGCATCGCAATACCGCACCACCCACTGGACTGAACCCACACTGGGTTCGATACTGTGGAGGTGCGGGACTAGGCGCGCCCGCCCTCCTCTCGCGCGAGTTGCGCCGCATCGCGGCGCTCGAGAAGCGCGCAGACGACGACGCGGCCGAGGCCCGAGATTCGCCGAGATTTTTTGAGGAGATTCACGAGATTCGCCGAGATTCTTTGATGAGATTCGACGAGGTGACCCGGGAGCGTCCGACCCCAGGCCGTGCTGCAGCGTGACCGCGAGACGGACCATATCTCCCCGTATCTCCCCATATCTCCCCATATCTCCCCTCAGGCCGTGCTGCAGCGTGACCGCGAGGCGCGCGCCGCCAAGCTGCGGGCCGCAGGTGTGTCGCTGCCGGCGGCGGGCCAGGCTCCGGAGCCGAGAGGGAGTAAGCAGAGACTGCTGTCTTCCACCCGCCACTGGAGGAGGAGCGTGCGCCGCTGCATGTACACCGCCTCCCCTCCCCACTCCCGCCTCCCGGCTGTGCCACACCACGCGGAACGCATCTCCATCGCCTCGGTGACGGGGGTGAGTCGCGCCATCCGCCACAATCGCCGTGCAAAGCTCGCTTCCGAGCTCTCACGCCGCGGCGTAGGGCCGTTAGGGGCCGTAGAGAACACACACACGCCCTCGCCCCTGTCTCCGCTGTGTGCATGCGATGCGATGCGATGCGTACACGGTAACGAGGCCCTCAAGCTTCACCACGCAGGCCTCGGAGGCGGCGGCGCCGACGGCGCTGGCGCGCTCGAGTCGCGCGGCGGCGACGCGCGGATACCTGCGCGAGGTTCGACTTTTCGCACTGGGCTGGCCGAGAAGGGTGAATTCTTCACCATTCCTTGGCACTGGACAGGTCGACTTCTCGCACTGGGCGGCGGGCTGGCTGGCCGAGAGGCTGCGCGGGCTGACGCACACCGAGAGGCGAGATCACGCGAGATCGCGCGAGATCACACGAGATGACGCGAGATGACGCGAGATCACGCGAGATGACGCGAGATCACGCGAGATCACGCGAGATGACGCGAGATCACACGCGACCACGACTACTTGGGGAGATTGTGGGGCGTGATTGCCGGGGGAGCGTGACGAGATTGCGCTGGAGAGAGCCGCTGCGGCTCGCGGCCAGTTAGTCAGCTAGTCGAAGAGTTCATTCACACGTCCCACAGGCGCGCGGGCGAGTCAGTTAGTCAGCTAGTCGAAGAGTTCATTCACACGTCCCACAGGCGCGCGGGCGAGTCAGTTAGTTCGCCACTTGAAGTTGATTCACATGCACATGCACACGCACATGCACATGCACATGCACATGCACATGCACACGCACATGCACATGCACATGCACATGCACATGACAACATAACACATACGTACACATATGCACATGCACACGCACACGCACACGCACACGCACACGCACACGCACACGCACACGCACACGCACACGCACACGCACACGCACACGCACACGTCCACGTCCACGTCCACGTCCACGTCCACGTCCACGCACACGTCCACGTCCCACATGCACACGCACACGTCCCACAGGCACACGCACACGTCCCACAGGCACACGCACACGTCCCACAGGCACGCGGGCGAGAGCCACTGCGCGACGCTCGTGGTCAAGGGGCTGCAGCCGTCGCAGAGCGAGGTGCACGCGTCGGTCAAGCTCAAAGGCGAGGCGCGCGCGCTCTTCTACGACCTCACGCTCGTCATCGCGTGGGAGGGGTCCGCCGTCTTGCGCAGCCGAGGCGGAGGCGGAGGCGGAGGCGGCGGAGGCGGCGGAGGCGGCGGAGGCGGAGGAGGAGGAGGCGGAGGCGGAGGCGGCGGAGGCGGAGGCGGCGGAGGCGGCGGCGGCGGGAGAGGCGGCGGCGGCGGGAGAGGAGGAGAGAACGACGGCGGGCACCGGATGAGCGGCGTGTTGCGGCTGTTCAACATCGGGCAGGCGACGCGGCAGCAGCCTGAGATGCGTGCACGACACGTCCCTGACATGCGCCCGACACGTCCCTTGCAGGAGACGCGGTACTCCCC